ACAGGGGTGTGAGTGTGTAAGAGCACACAGGCGTGCGAGTGCAGGACACACGCACAGACACACGCGTGTGCCCCTGCCGGCCGCGGCACCTGCTCGTGCCTTGCCCACGCGCGTGGGTGTAGCAGGCCCAGGTTGGGGGGGTCACTCAGCCTGTGCGGGGATGAATCACGCCGGGCCGAGGCCGCGCTGAGTCACCGGCGGCGCCGCGGGGCCCGGCCGGTGACGCGGGGGCACACGCGTGTGCACATGTGACACGCGCGGGGAACGGGGGTGCGTGGCCCTTTAAGGGGCGCGCCCGCCGCCAGGGGGCGCCCGGCGCCGCGGGGGAAGCTCCGCCCCTTCCCCGGGGCCGCGGGTTCGAGCCCCGGCCCCGCCGCTTCCGCCTCCGGGGCCGGGCCGGGGTCGCGGCGCTGCCATGGTAACGGGCCCGGCGCGGATTTGGGGTGCCCTGGGGGGATTTGGGGCCCGCACCGAGGCAGCCCTGCGGGCCCCGGCCCGTGCGGGGTGCCCCCGGCGCGGTGTGAGGCCCCGCCGCCGCCCGGTGCTCCCGCACGAACCACGGAGACCCCCGGGCCCCCAGCTCGCGTGTCCCTCCCAGCCCCATTCTTCCCTTTTTCCCACAGTCCTGCCACTTCCAGAGGCTCTTTGGGACCGACGGGGAGCTGGAGGACGAGGTGAGGGCCCCCCGACATCCTGGGGCTGCCCCGGGGCGCCCGGGCCCGAGGCATCCCCGCTGCTCCTTTCCCCGCAGGATTTCCTCTCCGCTGTGCAAGATGCAGAGAACCAGTTTGTGATCCCCGGACATTCCTCGCCCAGCGCCGTGCCGGTTCTTCCCAGTGGACCCCATCCCAGTGAACCCCATCCCAGTGAACCCCATCCCAGTGAACCCCAAACCAGCGAACCCCAACCCAGCAGACCCCAACCCAGCGGACCCCAAACCAGCAAACCCCAAACCAGCAAACCCCATCCCAGCGAACCCCAAACCAGAAAACCCCATCCCAGTGAACCCCATCCCACTGAACCCCAACCCAGCGGACCCCAACCCAGTGAACCCCAAACCAGAAAACCCCATCCCAGCGGACCCCAAACCAGAAAACCCCATCCCAGTGAACCCCATCCCAGTGAACCCCAAACCAGAAAACCCCATCCCAGTGAACCCCAAACCAGGGAACCCCAACCCAGCGGACCCCAAACCAGAAAACCCCATCCCAGTGAACCCCAACCCAGCGAACCCCAAACCAGAAAACCCCATCCCAGTGAACCCCAAACCAGGGAACCCCAAACAAGCGGACCCCAACCCAGCAGACCCCAACCCAGCGGACCCCAACCCAGTGAACCCCATCCCAGTGAACCCCAAACCAGAAAACCCCAAACCAGCGAACCCCATCCCAGCGAACCCCAACCCAGCAGACCCCAACCCAGCGGACCCCAACCCAGCGGACCCCAACCCAGCAGACCCCCCAGCCTGCGGCCCCTCGCCCAGCAGCCCGTGGGCCTGCGGGTTCCCCCGTGGCGGGGAGCAGCGCCCCAGGATGAGCAGGACAATGCCCTTTTCCTGGCTGCCTGCAGGGAGCTCGAGGGGCCCGGCGCTGCCCCGGTGCCCCCCGGGCGCCGCGAGAAGCCGCCCTGGAAGGGCGCAGGGAAGGAGAACGCTCAGGAATGTGGGGTCCCCAAAAAGCTCAGGCTGGCACAGGAGCTGGTCCCCGGCTCCGGGGGGCTGCAGGAGGGGCAGGGCCCCCTCCCCAGTCCCAGACCGG